TGGCTTTACCTCATCCACATGATGCAAGATCTTTTATCAGGCTTTTTAACTTTTCAGGGTTAGGCTTGAAGTCTTATTGTAGGCCTATTCCCAACTTATGGAAGTTGCAGTCCTAGACATAGCATTTTTGCATTAGGTATAGATCTGGACAATAACATGAATGGTATTGTAATTTTTGTCTTTGGCAACTTTCTATAGTTGCTGTTGGCTTTTATATATGTTTCATAAGTTGAATCAATCAGACATGATGAGTGCAACAAATGATGAATATGATGTCACAAAAATCGAGTTCAAAATGTCTTGACCACGTCCAAAGTCACATAAAAATTACCCGGTTGTAGAATGGACTTCACCAATACGTTCAAAATGTTGAGATTGCCCAATAGAGACTCTTTGATAAACACTATAGACAATAGATGCATCGACAGGCACATTGGGTAAAAACTATTTGAGTCATTGTTGAAGCTGCATAAATGATAACCCATTCACAAAATTGATCACATTGATCTATTTGAAGTGTCAAAATTATTTTTGAAAGGAATTTCCATGATTGAAATGGACAAACACGATGAAAATGATGATCCACAGATGCACATCGTGACAATCAGGCGTTGAATTGCTGCAACCGTTATTGAAGTCACTCAATTGATGCCCATATAGAAAACAAACTCTACCAACGCTATCAAAATGTCAAAATTGCTTAGCAAGGGCGTCTATATTGACCTATTCAATCTGCAAATACAAAATACAAAATTGCACTCACATCGTGATGGCACGAAAATGATGACATTCATAGAACAAAAAAATGCACGAGAAAATTCAGCATAAAAAAATACATTTTTAAAAATTTTTCATAAATTTAATTATAATATTCTTATTTTAAAAAAATAAAAAGTCCTTACATCTCGCTTCACTCGCCTGCTTGTGATGCCCGTTAAGTCTGGTTTCCCCCTTAGCATTTAATAAATAAATAAATGAAGGAAGAGCTACATACATTCCACTCAAGTCTCATGTATTTAGATTAAACTTTAGTTTATTTACATTATAGAAGTCTACTTATACATGAAATGGTGTATTTCACCTTTTAAAAGCTAGTATTAATGACATTTTTGATGTTAAATGAAAGATTTGAATGTTATAAACATAAAGAATAAACTTTAGATGTTAGATATATAATTACATAGGAATTGTGTGCTATGTATGTAAACGCCCCATAAATAAAATAATGCCTAAAATCTACACTACCCAACCCAATTTATCCCCATTTGCTGCCTACTTGTATCTCTCGGCCTTGCCTCGCAACAATGCGACTCCTTTCTCCTTTGCCTACTGGCTCTAACATGAAACTCACAGTAGGCCCTTTTTGACACTTTTGATCGAACCATCCTGCATCAGCTGCTCCTCTCAACGCATGAAACCAATAGCTCTCTCTCTTGCTTAGATCTTACTTCACCTCTCTTCTTCAAGATTTACTAAACCCCTTATCCTGTCACGCAACTTGCCATTTTCTTCTATGTGCAGCAAGCTTGTTCTGCTTTGCACCTCACATGACCTAACGTAGACCTCCACAATTCCCAACTCCCATAAATGTTGCTGGGCCTCTCGAACCTGCCTCTGACCTCTTCATAGAGTAGTAGGGGTTCTATGGCCACTCCTCCCCCTCGCATATTTTCCTAGTTACCTCAACTCACACAACAACCTCTACCTCTCTCCAAGGCCGCTAATCTGGCTCCTAACTGAAGAGCTCAGTCCCACTCTCCCTTTCAGATATGTTTTCCATGTTCTTCATCAAGCCCAACGACACTGAAAAAAGACCTCTCCGTTGTTGGTCTCTCCTTGTGGATTCCCTACTCTCTGTTCGCCTCAGCTAAATCACATGCCAAGTAGTTGCTTGACTGATAAACAGTAGCCCGACTCACCTCTTACTGTCTAATAGCGAACCAGAATAATGTGTTTTGTATTTAGGTCCTAGTCTATTTGGTTATTGTAGATGTAAATATGTATTATTTTCCACTTTCAATTGGGTTCTATAAATACCCCTGTAATAGAGATTTCTGTTAATAAAATATTTTGAATTTCTCCTCCTTTCTCATCTTCTGCTTTCGCATCTTTTCTTTCCCTTCTTTTTCATGATATCAGATCAGGCCTCTTTCAAGATATTCATGCCCTCCTGTCCTCTTCCCTCTGGTTCTCTCGGCTTCTTTCTCCAGCCGAAATCTTTTTCCTTCATCATAACCTGAAGCATATCAAAGCAGTTCTAGATTCAAGCTCTGCCTGCTTACCTGACGCAAATCTTTCTTCTCTGCCTGTCTTTTGCTGTCTCTTCTGTCGAGCGTTTCTCCTGTTGATCGTCCATCATGGAAGATTCATCTACTACCAACATTCTTGACTGACTTGTGAATCTCAGAATTTCAGAAAACCCTATCTCTTCCTCCCTCAAATTTCTCATGGAGAATCTTAAATCCATCGTGACCATCACCCTCTCTGCAGATACTTACCAATTTTGGCACTCTCAAATTATCAAGATGACCAAAGCTAATGGATTCTTAGGCTTTCTTGATGGCATCATTCCCTCCCCACCACATATGATTCTCAATTCTTCGGGCCACCTGGCAGCTCATCGATCAGAACTTGGCTGCAGCACTGTTCTCCACCATTTCGTGCACCATCTTGTCATAAGTTCTGAATCTTGAGACCAGCAACACAATCTGGAATGCTTTGGAAAAGTGTCTTTAAGTCACAAATCGCTCTCACGTCATACAACTAAAGAACGAATTACACAACGTCTCAATGGACAATCTCTCAATGTCTCAATTTTTCCTGCAGATTAAAACCATAGTTGATAACATCTCTGCGGCAGGTTCACATGTTAACATTGAAGATGTGATTCTTTACATTTTGAAAGGTCTTCCTGCAACTTATTCCTCGTTTAATACCTCAATCAGTACAAGATCCACCTCCATCATTCTTGATGAACTACACACTCTACTAATCAGTGAAGAGATCAACCTCTCCACTGAGCATGCTGCTGTTCCTACGGATCACCATCCTTTATACACCTCCAAAGCGAAGAGTAAATATTATAAGGGCGAAGGCAAATACAATAGCAGCAATCCCCCATTTTGCAGAACGTCCGATCCTCCAAAAACACCTAAACTTTACAATCAAGTGTCATGTCAGATATTTAATAAATCTGGACACATTGCAACTCCCTGTTGGCACCATCTGAACATTCATTACCAACCCAAGGCTTCATCCTCTTCACCGACATCCAACTCTCATGTTGCCTACATTTCTTCCTCCACTCCATCAACCCGATTGGTACCTTGATATTGGCGCAACCTCGCATCTAACCTCAGACTACACTCAACTTCAACAACCCAACCCGTCCCTTGGACATGAGACTGTTATGGTTGGTAATGGCAATACCGTCCCGATTAAACATTCTGGCTCCGACATTTACCGACACCCTGACTCGTAAGCTCACTTTATCCAAGCTATTTCATACCCCCCACATTTCCCATAATCTGCTCTCTATCTCTCAGTTAACTTTTGACAATAACTGCATGGTTATTTTTTATGCTCATGGTTATCAAATCTAGGACCGCACAACTGAGAAGCTTCTTCTTCAAGGTCCTTGCACTCATGGCCTATACCGAATTCCCAATAATCATCATTCCTTAGGTGAAGCGGTACCTTCTTCCATACAGTGGCATCGTTGACTTGGACATGCACATTGGCAAGTCGTTAAACTCATCTCTCACAGCAACCACACTTAAGTATTTCTCCTTAATTCTCTATATGCAATTCATGTAATAATGTTAAATGTCACCGACTTTCATTTTCTAATTCTACTAGCAAGCACGGTACTCTGTTAGCGTTGATTCATAGAGATGTTTGCGAGCCTTCTCTTTTCTCTTCAGTTCAAGGTTACAAATATTATGTGTTTTTCATTGATGAATTTTATCGGTTAAGTTGGAGTTATCCTATGTTTACCAAATCTGAGGCACTACAACAGTTTATCAGGTTCAAACAAGAAGTAGAACTTCAGTTCAACCACAAGATCAAAGTTCTTCGTACAGATAATATTGGTGAATACAACAGTCACAATTTCAAGAGCTTCCTAAATAAACATGTTATTATTCAACAATTCAGCTGTCCTTATACACCACAACAAAATAGAATTGCCGAACGGAAGCATCATCACATATTGGAGACCACTCAGGCTCTAATGACATATTCAAATGTTCCTTCCTTGCTTTGGCTTGACACAGTTTATGCTGCCATCTACTTGATCAATAAACCTGCAACAGTATTGCTAAATAAAAATATTTACCGCTGCATTTATTATTGACACAGATTCTTTGACAATAATCACACAACATTTGCAACAATAATGCAGGAATCTTGATGTAATTAGGGCTAGTTTTGGCATGATATGTGCTGCCATATATCCAACCGATAGTGTATGCCCTCTAAGTATATTGTGAGTTCAGTCTAAGCTTGCTGTCTTGTTGTTAAATTGTAAGCCCCCCATCTTTCAGTTTTTGAGGCAAGTCCTCTTGGTGTTCTTTCGGTCCTTTAGGGGTAACTCTCTCTGATTTGAGAAGCTGGGCGTCCTATTTCTTATCTTTCCTTCCAAATGATGATCGAGTATAGGATGCCCAGTTGTACAACCAATCTTCTTGCGACTTTACTTTTAGCCATCCATGCTAGGCTCGAAGCTGCCTTCGTAAGGATCTGATTTGGGCTTATAATTGAATTTGATTTGGTCTTGTAGTTGAATTGGACCATTTTGACGTGGAGCCATTGGATCAGTTGATTTTGTATTTTCACCCATGTGAAGCTGAGGCTTTTAGTCTTTGCTTTTATTTTTTTGTTAATATAAGGAATTATAATAGTTCAATATTTATCCAATTCTGTATTACCGAGGCCTGCATATGTAAAAGGACTTTATTGTGTATATTAGTAATCTGCACTGGCGCATTTATTTTTGGCAGATTGAAGGGTTGCTGTATAAAATGGCGTTCTGCAACAAAGTTGGTGGGTTAATTAGAAGGCAATGCACTTCAAGTTCATCGAGGGGACCAACTCCCATGATACATATGTTTAATGTTGTCCGCCATGCTTCTACGTCAAAGCTTTTTGTTGGCGGTAAGTCTCCATTTCATATCCTACCTTGAGTTTGCCAAGCTATTTCAGTTTGATTGGATTGATTTATGGCTTTACTATTGATAACTTCCAGGTCTCTCATATGGCACAGATGACATGTCACTTAAGGAGGCCTTCAACTGCTTTGGAACAGTTGTTGAAGGTTTTGTTGGAAATAGTCTATATTTGCACCCTGAACACAGAATATTTCATTCATGCTTTTATTTTTACATTTTAGGATCTTGCATAGATTTGTTAATGAAATGTGGAAGTTCCACGAGTTCAGCAGCTTTGTTGTATATTTTACAGCAAAGGTCATCACTGATAGAGATTCTGGAAGGTCCAAAGGATTTGGTTTTGTAAGCTTTGAAGATTCTGAGTCTGCTAAAAGTGCTCTTTCAGGCATGGATGGCCAGGTTTGTGCCTA